ATGTCCGCACTCAGAAGATGTCCAAATTTGCGAAGAAATTCCTGGTTTGGCAAGCCATCTGCACGCGCGGGAAGCGGAGTGCACCTTTCGTGACCCAGGACACGATGAACGGACAGGTGTACATAAAAGAGTGCCTCCAGAAGCGGCTGCTTCCTCTCCTGAAGGCCCACAACGTCCCAACAATCTTCTGGCCGGATTTGGCCTCATGCCACTACTCCAAGGACGTGCTGAAGTGGTATGCGGACAATAAGGTCAATTTCGTGCCGAAAATGTTCAACCCTCCCAACACTCCGGAGCTCCGCCCCATCGAGAAGTACTGGGCGATTATGAAGCAGCACCTTCTTAAACGACCTAAGGTAGTGAAGACAGTCGAGGAACTGAAGAAAATATGGGTTTACATGCAAAAAACGGTTGATTCACAGGTTGTGCAGAATCTTATGGCCGGGGTTAAGGCCAAGGTGCGGGCATTTGCGTATGGACTGTAAATAAAATACGAGTAAAATGGTAAAATGAAGTTTAATAGTTATTTCTCAATCCCTGAAAATTTGATGGCAATCGGATGAAAACTCGAATTTTGCGAATCAATTTTGTGTGTGGCAATTTCATCGTGGACACCCTTTAGTCTTTTGGTTCACTCTCACTAAGTCACGCCACGCCAACAACGTAATCCTCCATACGCTTCGGCAGCGCACCAGAAGTCGACCGCGTCGTGGTTCTTCAACGCTTGTGTCTTCATGCAGATCAAAGTACTCCTGATTGGTTGTATCAGTGTCGCTCAAACCGTGAAATGATGGTTCTTCCTGGAGACTCCAATCAGCGCCGCTTCCGGTTAGCCTTGGCTCGACCTCCACTTGCTGTTGTCATCCAGCTTTACATCCGGTGGCTCTGTCTTCAAATCAAACAGCAACTGCTCCGCTTGTTCCGGAACTCGCTCCTCACCCCTTTGCGTCCCGACTGACGGTAATCTTGTTCGTCTACTTGTCTAGAAATCGGTAGGCCTTGGATCCGCCAACGAAGGTAAGCTTCTTCGTCTTACTCTCAAGCTTGCTATGCTTAACGGCGTCGGTGGTGTAGTGGTATGCGTGATTACCTCTCACCCCAGCAGGCCTGGGTACAATCCCAGTCGGCGCCGCCGGGATGTTCTGAGGCATAACATCTCTGATCACGCCTTCCTTCGGATGGGAAGTAAAGCCGTTGGTCCCCGGTTCATGAGTTGATGGGTCGATAGGTAGGGTCCAGGTGTGGGAGCTGCCTTCCTGCACGTCGGTAGCATTGGTGCTCAGCACGGAAAACAAGATCGACGGAAAAAACAAACCAAAGGAAAAAAAAAAATCTTGCTATGCTTTACGGCGGGACATGAACAAAGGCCTGACAACCAAACACTTTCAGATGGCTGATGTTTGATTTGTGGCCACTGCATTACTCGAAAGGAGTTTTATCCATGGTACGGCTTGGTACACGATTCTGGATGTATGCAGCAGTAACGATTGCCTCTCCCCAGTACTGCTTCTGTATGCCAGCATCGACAAGCAGGCACATTGCCATCTCTTGCAAACAACGGTTACACCGCTCGGCAATACCATTTTGTTCCGGGGGGTAGCCTGCTGTCAGCTGCATTTCTATACCTTCGTCGCTGTAGAACTGCTTCAGCTCATTTTTCACGAATTCACTACCGCGATCGGAACGAATGATCCGCGGCTTTCGTCCGAACTTATTTTTAAGCAAATACAAGACGAGATATCGACTGTAATCGTCGATAAAGGTCATAAAGTACTTCCACCCTCCGACTGTCGTGTTGCTCATAGGACCATACAAGTCCGTATAAATCAAATCCAGTGGCTGTGTGCTTTTCCATACCGACTGCTGCGGGAATGGTAAGCGCGTCATTTTTCCTTCCAGGCAAGGCTCACACACGACTCTTACCCCGCAGTCGACCATCTTCATTCTAGTACAAGCTACTCGTTCTTGATCCTGTCAAACACCGAGGGATGCCGATGTCCGAGGTGTCGATGCCACGTATGCTGGCAGCTAGTAGTGTGGTTCTTTTGTTTTGCCACGGCTGCACACTCGGACTGCCTTAACTCGTATAAATCACCGCTTCGTCCACCTAGAGCAATGATCTTGTTCGACTGGTCAATAACTTCGACACTGTCACGCTTGAACAAAACACTATAGCCACAGACAAACAGACATAACACATTGAATATTTCTCACTGTAAAACATCGTCGCTAAAACATTACCGCCATCTGTTGAGTACACTGTGGTGGGCACTACACTGAACAGATGGCGGTAGTGTGTAAACGTCAAACGCAAGGGAATTGACTATGCGCGCCCACAGGTGGCGGTACTACCAACTACGATACATTTAAATTGTCCGTTAAATGCTTGTTCGATGAACAACTTGTGAGTGTTTTGTCTGTTTGTCTGTGCTATGGCCTTAGACCACTATTTCGCTGACGGACAACAGCCCAATGTCCAAGCCAGGTACATAGAGAACCTTTCGGAGCTCTGTCTTGATCGGACTTCCTGCTCCCGTGACGCCTCTAACGCACCCGCTGCCAAAACCGCCTGACCGTGCACTGTTTCCGTTGGTCATCGACACCTGCACGTTCGACGACGCAACCAACTCATCAAAAATCCGCTTGTCGCAGGTGATATGGCACGACACACCGCTGTCGACTGTCCACGCACTTTTTCTTTTTGCCAAACTAGTGGATTCACTTTTTTCTTGCACCAGAAACACTGTAGCAACTTTATCCTTATCCGTCGCTTGCTTTGCCTTCGTTTGCTGCTTCTAGGCTGCCAGTTTGCTTCCAGAAGACTTGCCTCCATCCACATTCATCGAAGTGTCCGGGTTTCCTGCAGAAATAGCAGACTTTTTCCGTGTTCGCCTTCTGCGTCTTGAGCACCTGTTCCTTCGACGATGACTTTCCACTCCACTCCATTCGCTTATGGTATTCATCTATGAGCTTCGAACGAACCAGCTCTATGGTGATATCATCGTCTGGTCGAGCCTCTAAAGCCGATGCCAAAAAATGGTACGGCTTCTTAAAACCATGGCGATTTTCAGCTTTTCCTGCAAGTCCAGGCCAGCATTTTCCAACTTATCGAAGCGTATCTATTTTCAGAAGGTGCTTTTTGACGTCTCCGGATTCCCCGAGCTTCGAATCACAAAGTCGGATCAGCAACGACAACTGGGACGTTATTGTCGATTTTTCATGGTACGCCTTTAATGCATCCCATACCGCTCTCGCTGATGTGCAATTTTTGATGAGCGGATACTGGCTCTGCTCGATGCATAGACCAATTGTGGCTCTTGCCTTTTTATCCACCTTCCGCCAAGCTTCCGTCCCCGGTTCCGGTTTAACTTCGTCCACCGTGTGCCAAAATTCCTCCCTGGTCAAAAAAATGTCCATTTGGAACTTCCATGTTCCATAGTTCCTGTTCCCGAGCTTGATGATTGAGAATTCATCTGCCATTCCGGTCACATCCAGCAACTTTCCGGCGGGTAACAACTCCACACCTCACCGTTTTTGCACCAGCCGAAGACAACAAACAAAATCCGTCTTTTCACTACCGATACCGAACCGATTCCGCAAATTCCGATACTGGGCCAATAACCTGTCGGTTAAAGTATGGCCAAAGCAGAGAAACGATCGCAGGGAACCTTCAACCGCGTAGAAAAATACGGAAACTCGATTGATTTTACGAAACGTGTTTATTATTGCGTATAAGAAACCAAAGTTAATACATTTCAAGGTGTTGAACATTTCTCTCTTTGCTTATGTTCAGTGTGATAGCCGGCGCCGGTGGTGTAGTGGTAAGCGTGACTGCTTTCTCACCCCAATGCGTCTGGGTTCAATCCCAGCCGAGGTCGGTGGGATTTTTCTGAGGCATAAAAATCTCTGGTCACGTCTTCCTTAGGAAGGGAAGTAAAGCCGTTGGTCCCGGCCCATATGTGTGTTTTTAATGGGTGCGATATCCTACGCAGGTGTGGAAGCTGCCTTCCTGCACATTCGATTGCCATCAATGGATGGCAATCGATGTCCGTCGGTGATTGGCACTAGATTGCGGAACAGAGACCGACGTTAAATAAAGGAAAGAAGAAGAAAAAGAAGAAGACCTCTAACGTAACAACCACCAAGAATGAATCAATTTCTGGTTCAAGTGCAAAAGAAGAACGTAAGGATCTACGATCTTTTTCGTAAGTACACAATAACAACAATTGTATCGCCAGTATTGTATTTTATTTTTTATTTACTCATTCTCTGTTTTATTTTTTTTTTTTTCATAATTTCAGATCATCGAGTTGAAGTTTATCATTCCGTCGGATCCAACTAAAACCCATATCCGGAAGGAAGCTCTGTAGATCCAAAATGATCATAAAAATGAATGAACCATGTTGACATTTTTAAACTCAGAGCTTATTTTTATGGATTTTAATAAATATTCAGAATGATGCTCCCATTGCAGTGTTTCTTATTTTGCAACTATTTTTTGTTTTTCATTAACGCAAGTAGACAGAACTTTTAAAAAAATGCCAAGATTCAGAATTTTTTTTACCGTAGGGATGCTTTTGCCGAGCAATCAGTTAATATTTTTACTGAGGTTTAAGGCAAAAATTGACTATCGTAAATTTTATGATTACCGAGATCCTCGGCAAATTTACTGTTTGGTTTCCGAGATGGTTACCGAGCACTCAGCGGTGCCCATCTCGACAATTGTTTTGCTGTGATTCGGCGAAAAAAAACTTTGTGTATAGTATGCCGAAACATCATTTCGACGTCAGCTGCGCGATACACGACTTTGACATGATGTTTTGACATGTTAGATGATGCCAAAATTCCGCCACACCAGTGAGCGTTTAGCATTACCATCCAAAAATAAAACGAGATTATCCTATGGATTATTTTCGCAAAAAATTTCGTGATACCTAAATTTTTCTTCGATTCTTAAAAAAAAACATTAAAATTAACCAATTTTACTTCTACCGTTTCAGATACAATATATGATGAATGAAACATTTTAAACATCCTTCACAAGGCAAAGCAAGTATCTCCAGTAAACTACAAATCATCTCAATGAATGCCAAACTTAGTGTACTATAGCATTTCAATTGAAATTATGTATTTTGTTATGATTTTTTATTGGCCTCCAATATTATGATTTATATGTCTATTCAGCTGCTATGAAAATTCTAAATAGAATTATAAACTTGCATATTCAGAAGATAGATTGGTTACATAACTTTTATTAAATGATAAACACTGTTTGCTTATTAATGCTTATGTTTATGTCATGGATAAAATAGTTAACTATTAAGTCTGTACTAACAACTACTATGTTGTTTCACCATTTTTAGTATGACAAAAATCACGAAACTACTTGATGGCTGGAAAAACGTATCCTTTTGAACGTCACCTTCGTTCCAGTGCGTTCGTTTTAGAAACTTTCAGTGTTATAGCAACGGAATGGCAGAATACAGACTTAATGATTAATTTCTCAATTTATTCGAACAAATTGGTGTCGTGTCAGCACTATACTAGCTAATTAAACGTTTTTTCAGGGAAAATTGTGAAATTCAAATCTTTCAATGTCTCATTTAAACTCAATCGATCGAGTATAGTAGGTATTAGCTAAATTATCACCATCTGTATATGTGATTGTAACATTTAGAAAATGATTATTATGACATTTAGACAACAGAAAAATAATATTGAATTTTATTGATTGGGAACATATCATCTGAGATTGTAGAACACTAATAGTAACACAAACTATGTGTAATGCACTATACACTATAAAATAAAAATAAACTTAAGAAGCAATGTAAAGTTGAACATAATGATGCGAATTCTTAATTGATAACTTTATTGAAATAAAAAGAAAGCCTCATCTACCGTCAGTCGATCCTGTTGGTATTGATGCCCTAGACTAGCTGCTGGCTGCCTTTGGCATAGAATCACGCGGCGAAGGAATTGCCTGAGCTCAACAAAAGAGGGAAAGGAGAAGTCTCGTTCCAACCTCGCTCGACTACAGTTCTCCGTCGGTCGCATTCATCGTGTGCTCAGGAAGGGCAGCTACGTCGAGCCTGTTGGACCGGTGCACTGTGGGGCAGCGAAGCCATTCGTGTGGCCAAAACCTCTAGCGCCGTTGATTTACTTTCTACAGCAATACAATGTTCTACAAAGTTGCTCAATACTAAAAGCGCCATCTTTTGAATGTTTCATATTAGTTCATTTTTACGCCACATAGGTGGCGCTCGAGTCTATCTTTTGAACGGAGCATCCTAGCCGAATGGTTTTTACAGCAAAGTTGTGTAATTTGATGTGTTGAGAAATGTTGTCGAAAACATCGAAACTCTATTACTCACATTAAGCGAGATATTGGGCAATTAGGAAAACTAACCTCTAAAATTGCATTTTTCCTTTTTTTCACCTATATACGTCAAATGTATAAGTTTTATACCCTGATAATTAACAAAAAGGTTTGACTCATCCAATAAATACCCATTACTTTATATATCATGCCTTATTATAAAGTTATTAACATAAATGTCTCAAAAAAGTGATGTATAAAAATGTCAATTACTCTAAATATAGCAAAAAGTAGCAGCCAATTTTTTTTACAGTGATTAGTGTAGACCTTGTTGGGTAAAGTAACGACCACTGTTCAACAGGCAACTGCAGGCATTTTCATATAACATCATTTGAATGTTGCATATGGTAAATTCTTTAAAATTTGTTGAACTTTTGCTTTGTGTGTAAAACAAGATAAGATGTTATTGATGAATGCAATAGATGCATTAATAGATTACTAGGAGACTTAAAACTGCTGGTTTAAAATGTCCATCCTCCAACGTCCTCCATAGTGTCCTTTCGACATGTTTTGCGACTGTATCGTTCCCGAAATTTTCTGAAGTCTTTATTTCTGGCTTCCTGAGCCTCCTCGCTTAACATACCAATTGGAAGCAATGCAATATGGATTGCTTGCGATCCGTGGATTAAAACCTTATGGACAGAGGCTGACATTGGATACCATTTATAAAGGCTAACATAAAGACGAGCAGTTTCTTCAGCAAAATATCGAAATGCTGTTATTTTGATCGAAAATCCGGAAGACAACCCGAAAAAAAATAACAACAAAAATACAATAAAAAACAATGTAACAATAAGACGAAAATTATTGTCTTAACAATGATTTATATTGTTACGTCTACAATAAATTTACCTTGATTTATGTTGTACAAAACAGTAAATTTCATGGTAAATGGAAAATTTACAATAAAAAAGGGGGGTTGTTAAGCATCTTAACAATGAAATTTTCGTGATTTCCCCATATAATTTTGCATAATGGGACATTACTGACTCGATAAATGTGTACTGATGTATGGTTGGTGAAGAGGCTTGCATGTGGAGGGTATTCTCGGGCTAGTGAATGCCACCCATCCCCACTTATAATTCAGTAATACACTATTTATTCATTTCTGTTTGATATGTTTACAAAGTTTGCAAACAGAAATGAGCATTGCAGTGTAGTTACCAATTTTCCAAGTCATAGACTTCAGATAACTGTTCAAAGTCCCATATTTTTTATAACGGAATCATGAACAAAAAACCAAAGACAACTATGACAAACGCGATCGGTCTGAAGGGATCTTTACATAGAGATTGTTGATCCAGAACCTCGGGCTCTGGTTCCACTTCGCTTTTTCCAGGAGGCCATTATCTGCTACCGGAAAACATACAATAACAAAACTGTGATGATAATTTAGTGCCTCAAATCACAATAGTTCCCGAGATTAACTCCCTAGAAAACTCGAAGTGGCAGTGAAAGTGCCTGTGGGCGCTGAATCGTATCACCTTAAGAACCCAGTATGTTCCATTCCCAGGTTGGAAATTTGCTCAACTTCCCTGGGCATAGAGTATCACTGTGCTTGTAATAATGCAGATTCATACATTGGTTGGCATAGAAAGCTTTCAATTAATTACTATGACTGAGTTCTTAAGGCATACTGAGTTCTTAAGGTGGTATGGTTCAGCACCCACAAATCATAGGCACTTTCACTGCCACTTCGAGTTTTCTAGGGAGTTAATCTCGGGCACTATTGTGATTTGAGGCACTAAATTATCATCACAGTTTTGTTATTGTATGTTTCCCGGTAGCAGATAATGGCCTCCTGGAAAAAGCGAAGTGGAACCAGAGCCCGAGGTTCTGGATCAACAATCTCTATGTAAAGATCCCTTCAGACCGATCGCGTTTGTCATAGTTGTCTTTGGTTTTTTGTTCATGATTCCGTTATAAAAAATCTGGTAATTTGAACAGTTATCTGAAGCCTATGACTTGGAAAATTGGTAACTACACTGCAATGCTCATTTCTGTTTGCAAACTTTGTAAACATATCAAACAGAAATGAATAAATAGTGTATTACTGAATTATAAGTGGGGATGGGTGGCATTCACTAGCCCGAGAATACCCTCCACATGCTAGCCTCTTCATCAACCATACATCAGTACACACTTATCGAGTCAGTAATTTTTACCGAGTTTTTGAATTGCGGTAAAATTTAAAAAATCTGTGAAAAATTCAAAGTTCAGAAAATGTGTTACGAAAATTTACAGACTAACTTCTGTTAACCCCGTGTAATGATGAAAAATAAAAAAATTCGATTTTATCCAATCTTTACGAATAACAGTCATTTGAATTTTAACCGAGTCAGTAATCCAAAAATCCAGTAAAAATACTAACTCCTGCAAAAAAATCTAAGTGTGTATGCAGAAGCAGCGGAGCTCCACGCTCCTCCATCGAAACAGCACCGCAGTTGAGCTACGAGTGCTATGAAATAAAAAGGACATCGACTTATTACCACCTACCTACTTCTCTCCCTTCCGCTCACAGAATTCGCCGATTCGGTGTCTCTCGTTGTGTTTTCTGCTGAGACTGAGCAATATTCGATACCGCGAAACATCTCCGCAGTTATATTTTCTTTCGGCGCAGGAGATGTGCGGTAATCAAAAGTTAAGAATGTAGCTAAACATTTACAATAACATTCTACCAAATTTTCATGTGCGTAGTCCACTGCAACAGCCGAACGTACGAACGAATAGGGTGACTATAGCGCATTTTATGAAAACGTCACAAGTTTTTATCACTGTTTTAAATCAATAATTATGAAGAAACCATAAAGCCTACAAGGTTACTACCAAAGACACAAATCTAGGGAACTGCATGGAAAATGTTTTGTAGAACAACTAAATAAACAGAAATGAAAAGTTTCAACTCAAAAACACTAAAATGTATGAAATTTTACCAGTTTTTTTTGGTATTTTCAACATACTTTTCAATTTTAATGTATGATAATTAACTTTAATCGAGTTTTTATTCAAAGAGTATTGATAGCTAAGACTTTAATCTTTCATTTGGTATGTTGAAATCAGAAAACCACATTAAGATTAAAAAAATATAGCTAACCAAAGTTGGCAATACAAAAAAACATAAAATGTTGAATAACTCACTTAGCAGTCATTTCCGACCCTATGTTTCATGGGGATTTTTTCATAACTTGAGGAGCCCTATCTACCCTGAAAATATGTAAAACCCGGAACCAAACACCCTGTATATATATATATATATATATATATATATATATATATATATATATTAGGCCTATGGACATGCGTTAGCTTCGAAACTTCTAACCAAACTAGGAAAATTTTGAGATCACAAAAAAAAAAAAAATTCAAAGGTAATTACAAGCTAAATAAATATTGATTATTTAACGCAAAACCGAGCAAGTAATATTAAATCTTTTGTATTGTATGCTAATGCTAATTGACTTTAACAAAAATAATATGCTTAAAAAAAATAAAATATTAATAAAATTGTATGCAAAATTTACTAGAAGATCATTACTTTATTGGTGAGAAGTTTCTAATAAGCCCTCCCAGTTCCTCTGTATACAGAACAAATCTGATACTATAATCAGAATTGCTCAGTCTGCATGAAGCAGCCGATTTCATCAAGGAAGTATTATTAACAACCAAGAATTAATCGTTTGAGGCATACTGAAGCATTAAGAAGGTGATATGTGTCACTATAGGAAATCATCATCGTTGCAAATATAAAGAAATTAAACATAACCCTTTGCTTCAGTACCATCAACCTCCATGTCCATGGGGAGGGTCACGAATTAGTTACATGGGACTCATGTTTAAACCCCCTTCTTTATAATTTTTATGTTAAAGACATTGATGGTTGTCTTGATAATGTTTATCTAGAAATATAAAATAATAGTTTTTTTTTACAATTTACGGCTCCGTGAAATTAACTCGCTTGAACCCTTCAAAAAATAAACTGAAGAAAAACTTAGGAAGGTTAGTCACCAAAGTTTTCGAGCCGCTCCGTCTGTCACTTCATTTGTGGTTGTACTTTCCTAATAATCCATCTATCACATACAAACAGACATAACTCTCGCAGATTGTTCATCGAACACGCATTTGACGGTCAATTTTAGTGTTTTTGGTTGGTGGTGCCGCCACCTGTGGCGCGCACGGTCGGTTCCCTTGCGTTTGACGTCTGCACACTAGCGCCATCTGTTCAGTGTACTATCCATCACATGATACTCAACAGATGGCGGTAGTTTTTTAGTGACTATGCTTCTTTTTCGTTGTGTGTGTGTGTGTGTGTGTGTGTGTGTGTGTGTGTGTGTGTGTGTGTGTGTGTGTGTGTGTGTGTGTGTGTGTGTGTGTGTGTGTGTGTGTGCGTGTGTGTGTGTGTGTGTGTGTGTGTGTGTGTGTGTGTGTGTGTGTGTGTGTGTGTGTGTTTGTGTG